ATTTAAACTGTTCCACGTACCGTACGTGCCCGGGCAGCTTATTTTTAACTAGTTCATAGCTGTTGTAGATTTCCCGAAGGAGCATTTTGAGTTACTTTCTCCCCTTGATATAACTAGTCTTTGCAGGCCCCAGACTTAAACTAACATTAAGAATTTTCTCAGTTTATTTATGGTTCATGAGAAAATAGTTACGAAATTTTAAGAATTTTCGGGACTCTCTATTTAGATAAGTCGTAAGTTAGCGACAAAAGACTGTGAATTTTTTAAATAGGATTACGGCAAAATTAATCTAAAGAATCGAACTAATTTTACTTTGTGGTGTAAATCTTGTTGTTGTAATGTGTTGGTAAACTTGGTTAAATAAATAAAATAAAAATACATTTCCCAAAGATCACAAAAAGTTCACTTTGATATGAAATAGATAACATCAAAGATTCTATCGATTTTACAAATATAAACAGACTATATTATACTATCGTTAATAATAATATATCAAACAGCATCTCTAATTAGGACGTTTGAATATGTAAAACACTGCAATATTTCAAATTAAACTGTATGTCATTTGAATACAACATTGGGCGCAATCAATTTGCTAATTTCTTCCCTAAGATGTCCCTTAAATATTCAGAAACATAATTTATATTATGACATAATCCATCTACACAATTATAATTATAATCTCCGAGTATGACGTGGTATAAGTATAAATATCCTTCACGGATATAGTCAGTTACATCATTCTGTACTTCACTATTAAGCACAATAAACTAACAAATAGAAAGTTTAGTTCAATACTGATGTGTATAAAAATTATGTAGATTATTTAGACATTCCTTATTATTAGGCATCTCTACATAACAAGAAGGAAAATATGCTTTTACTGATCTTACCCTGGGTTCTCTCTCACTCATCATCTTACTATAACTATAGCAAACGTCAAAAGTCTGTCAAACTTCATACAAAAACACCGGTTAAAGTTATAGATACGGTTAAAGTTAAGGTGATGCAATTCAGCACAAGGGAAATGATTTACTTAAAAATGACTTGTTCGACATCGTTCAGTTTTAAACATGTGTATCATTCTAGAACTTTTATGCGCAAACGGCCGTCATCTCTACGAGCTATGTGCCCCGCCCACTGCCATTTGATTTTAGCATTTTAGCAATTTTGCGTGCTATATCGGTTACCTTGGTTTTCCTGCGGATCTACTTATTTCTGATTCGATCACGCAGGGAAAATTACACCTATTTGTACTAAATTAGAAAGTATATTAAATTACTTAGCAAGCTAAGTAGTGTCGTCGTCTGTTGTAGTGTTACTGATCCAATCTCCATTTTGGCTTCGTTATACGGAGGCTCATCAAGACAGATCCGATCGTGTCCCACATACATTCTGTTAATTATAATTAGTGCTCGTCTCGCTTAATTAATACAAGATTTACAATTAATGCCATCGCGATCGATACGTTCTTTGGAGATACGAGATAATCTGAGATCTTAATCTCGGCTAATGTATTTCGGATTTGACACTATTTAAGAAACGAGGACGATCGTTGTCTTCAGGCACTGAAAATAGAAAGCCTTTAGGTATTTTAACACCATTTTGTACGCTTGAAAATTGTTTGAATATTTTTTCTCGGTTTTGCAACATTTTTCAATGACGCTACTATGCAAGCGGGTACTAGTCATCATCATCATCATCTCAGCCATAGGACGTCCAATGCTGCGCTTAGGCCTCCCCCAATGATTTCCATGCTGCCCGGTTGGTAGCGGCCTGCATCCAGCGCCTTCTTGCTACCTTTATGATGTCGTCGGCCCACCTTGTGGGTGGACGTCCCACGCTGCGTTTTCCGGTACGCGGCCTTCACTTCAGCTAGCTAATCCGTCGGGCTATGTCAGCGACCTTAGTTCGTTTACGGATCTCCTCATTTCTGATTCGATCGGCCTACTAGCCTTCTTTTCTTCATTCCTTCATCAAGCACAAACATTTTTTCAACTCGAACCAGCAGTTCTTGAGAGTAGTCCCGTTCTACCAAACGCAAACTCTTTAGCGTTATAACATTCCTTTAGAAAAGTTTAGAACTTTGTTATGGTTCTTATCTTATCACAATTGTTTTGTTATTATACAAACGTGGCTTGACTTTAAATCCGCATACCTATTGGAATGCAGTTGGTACGTATCAATCACCATATTTTCATGTGTTATACTTAAAGTATGTTTGTTTCAAAGGTTTACAACCTTTGGTTTACTACTAAAGAATACCCAATTTTATTTTCAATCAGTAGCAGAATTCTCGGAATCGAATCTTTACTTCAGAAGGGATTATAATCTATTTATAGTACAAACCAATGGCGGCTTCCTACGCAAACAAGTAAAATACAAGCACAAATATCTATTCATTTATGAGTTCGTTGGTCTCTTGTTAGCGTAATAATGCAAAGAATGGTCCTTCACAAATGAGGTTATTTCACCAAATTATGAAAGATTGTTGTTTATATCATTGTAGTGTTGTTCAACGATGGTTAACTTTTACTATGTTTTTTCGTGGGATGTGACAACTCTGATATCTGACTGTATGGATACTACCTGACCTGGCGAACTTTGTTATTAAGAAACAATATTTTGAATTAGTTTAGGAGTTTCTGAGCCTATTCAATAAAAACAAACAAACAGTAAAATTTTACTGTAGATATAAAATGTTGTTGGCGTATTAAACGACCCGATGTAGGCATAGCATAGTAGATAATAATTATGTCTTCAAAAAAACGAAAACATATTTTTTCAGACATTCTTTGATAATAAATTACAGGCTTTATGCCTGTAATTTCTTTACAGTCTCGTAAATAAAACCATTAGATTTTTGGAAAAAAAAAGTGATTTTAACTAGTAACCCGAGACTTAAGAAGAGAGCTATTAGATAAATGTATTTAATAGAAATAATCTCATGTTGCAATCAATACCCACGCCCATGTTATGGGTCTATGTCTATTATTTAAGAACCATTGTATACCAACATGGAGCAATATTGAATTTAATTTGTATTGGCCAATAGGCTAGTTTCCTAAAAAAATTTTTTTAGTCCGTCATGTTTAATGTCAAAAAATATTGGACACATATATTTTTATTTGTCAATTTAACAAATAATTACATAGTTATGGTGCGTTGAAGTTCCGCACGACGTCACAACGTGCGGCACTTTTATGCAAGCATTGACGTCACGGGCCTCTTCTTATGAACTTTGGCGCGCTTTATCTCTTTAAATTTTCATTAGTTTGAGAAAGTGAAAAATACGTGTAGAGTATTTTTGGATAAGTTAACTGACGGACTAATTAAAACTCTTGCTTTTTGACCCAGGAAACATCCCTATTCTATAACTTTACTTCAAACGTGTTAATACCGATAAGCGGAATTCATTTGACGAAATTAGGCACGGCAGCTTAGTACAGAGCTCTATGAATACAAGTAGATTAGTTAGTACAGAGTTCTATGAATATACTAAGGATATTATCCTATTACCCTATTAACTAAATTAGGCATAATAGGAAACAGTTCTCGTCTCATCCGACCACCATTATAGGATTAGATGTTATTTGATATTATATTAATAATAGTAGGTATTATCACTATTTGAACATAATAGCTAATATCTTAATGGCTTGGAAGGTAGGTACTGAGCCGAGGCATAAAATAGAAATAGAGTTTAATTTCGTTATATTTTAAAATTCTGGGCACGAACTAGCCACAATCAATTTCATAGTCATTTTAATGTATGTCAAACCATCTTCTTCACCTATTAACATACTCACGTCGCCATATTTCGACCCTAGAGCATGCATGACATATGCTGAGTGGGTGCTGATTTGGTTCAAAACTAATTTATATATTATTGTCATTCTGTTTATTGCGATTAAGTGGTATTTTGAATTATTTTTCTTTCTTTTCTAAATATCCGAAAAACTATCGATAACTTAACAGCACTATGCGATTAATCCTTCGATAGAGTCTAAACATGTTTTCTCAAACCTCAATTACTCCGATCAGTAAATGGATTGAGACATTATCTACTGTGAATAATAAAGCCGTCTTGGTAGTTAGATAATATCTGCGGAACACTAAAATGTTTAACGATTCAGGTTAACAGGTTCACTAGGTAGATAGAAGATAGTTCATTCAGCAGTGTATGTAAAGGTGAATATTAAAACAAGATTATTTTTGTGATCTTGGGTTTTTTTTTTAATTTTTGTGCTAGATCGATTAATTTGAAATTTGGTACGGCTCTAGTTTGGTAAATCAAATACAATGTAGTGTAGACTGTACTTAATTCAATAATGAGATAAGCTCGATGTCCCGATGACTTCAGAAAATGGCTAACAATAGAGCTTCTTAAGTAGAGCTAGACAAAATTATTTGCGGTAAATAGTGTGTGATGATGATGATGATGATGACATTCTTACTACATCATGCCCGACTGAATGAAGCGGCAAGGTTCTGAAGTGGAGGCCAGGGCTGAGTGTGACGTCCACCATAAGGTGGAATGACGACCCCATGAAGGTAGCATGAAGGCGCTGGATGCAGATCCCTAAGAACCGGTTAATATGGCAATAATAGGGAGAGGCCTATGTTCATCAGAGGAAGTCCTGTAGCTGAAAATATGACGATAATGATGACGATGACATTAAACTTAAAATGCTCCGATAAGCAACCAGGAGAAGTGTGCTCAGGAGTAACCTGACGCGTACCAGCCCTTCTCCACAGTGGGTGATGATGACTCACATCGTGCCCGTTAAGCAACCAAGTGAGGTGTACTCAGGGAGCAACCTGACCTGACGCGTACCAGCCCTTCTCCATAGTGGGTGATGATGATCATTATGACATTCAACTTACATCGCGCAGGTTGAGCAACCAGGTGACGTGTGCTCAGGAGTAACTTGACGCGTACCAGCCCTTCTCCATAGTGATGATGGTGGTAATGATGATGATGATGAAATTCAACTTACGTCACGCCCGTTGAGCAGCCAGGTGAGGTTGGCGGGAGGGTCCGCCGGCGGGGAGGAGCACTGCGCCCTTAGGGAGTCCCCTGACGCGTACCAGCCTTTCTCGGCCTTTATCGTCGGCTTGTCTGGTGGCAGTTCTGCAAAGAAACACTTTGGTTATTATGGCGAAAGAGAATTGAATCTTATACTATCAAAAATACACTTTAATGTAAAGGGCATTGACGCCTAGACTGTATTGGAGTAGTTATGTTGAATTTAAGATCCGGTTTTAAATTGTTTATTAGACTAGGCGCAGACCATCGATTTTTAGTTGGCCGATAGTTGTGCCCGATTTTAAATTGTATGAAGAATCGGTCAAATCAAATCGGCGTAATGTGCGGACTCCCCTTGGACGAATAAACCAATGGACACGAAACCTACAAGATTTCTAAGTAAACACGATCAACCACTTTTTGTGGGGGGAGAGGTTTGACAATTGTCAAATAATGACATTTAGTGCTGGGAAAAGATCGTAAATTTTTATCGATAGTTATGTAAATGAATGAATGAATGAATGAACCTAACGAGATAAATGAATTATGGATTGATTTAAAATTGAAAGTTTCTTTAATTGAAAGACTATAATTAATTATTGTATCGTGTTTATTATAATGCCATTGGTAAATCATAGGTACAAATAATATTACAAATTATATTATTCATATAGGTAGGTAACTAGGTGAAATATTTTTTGGCTGTGTTATCATTATCAAATTCGTAAAGCAATAAACAAGTAATATTCTGTTACGATCGACTGCTAACTAGCTTTTGGTCTCAACAAATGTTATAATCTGTCTCACGTCACGGACAAAAGTTTCATCAATAGCCTATTTCTATACATTTCATGAAACACAATTTGATAACATTATGACAATGTATTGCTTTGTAGCGCTTGCAGTACGGATGCACTATCTGAGAATATTTAATTCTTATCTAATGTTGTTGATATTCTTATGTTTAGGTCATTCGAGAAGACCTCCTAGTACTTATTTCAGTTTTGAAGACGTCGGTATATCCTAACTTCATTGATTCCAGAGCAATTTCGCGTTTCCGCTGTAAGCTGGATATTATCTTTGGTCGAAGATGTAGTATTTTGATGTACAACATATTTCAAAAAAGGTGTAATTATTACTTACATTTACTGGTGTGCTTGTTTTGTATGTTCCATCTATGTCTATCTCATAATCTTTTGTTTCATGTGACTAAAATTATCAAAACAAAAAAATCTATCAAAATCTAAAATTAATTTGAATAATTTCAGTTTCAGTTTGTTTGGTATATCGATAAACTTATCGACATTTTTCAAGCCCTTTACGTCATAAAAAATGAGATGTGAATGAATGAATGAAACCTATAATCCAACCAAATTAAATATGCTACATGTTTTAAGCATTTACATGTACAATGAGTACTTTTTAAAATGACGTAATCATATTTTGTTTACATATCAAATTTTATTTATTTTACGAAAAAATAGCTACTATAATAGATTTAAAATGTACTTACGCGTGATAAGAAACATTTCTTGTGTGACAGGAATAATTTTTGCAATAAAGTACGGCACATTTACCCATTTTTCGTGATATTTTTACTCTTCGAGAGCTGGCGTCATACTGACAAAGTGACAACCTGACAACATTTACCATGGCTAATTTAGCCTTGGTAAGTGCTAGCGGGGTAAAGACGAAAACGTCACTCGTTACGCGTCCAGTGGTTTATTCGTCCAAGGGACTCCCCTAGATGCCCATACTGATCAAATATCGCTAAATATGTGAGTCTGTCTACCCGAAGTGCCAACAAATTGACAGATACAGGCGTATGTGAATAATTAATGTAATCGGCGTAGAATATAATATTTCGATTGTCAAAACATTATGTTGGTTGGATTGGAATTAGCAATATCAATATCCTGGTGTTAGACATTAGAAATATCAAAGGAGTCGTCATTGTCCTGACAGAATTGAGATAATACGGTTATTTTTAATTTTTGTGATCCATCAGGAATAGAATCCAAGTCCTAAGAACATGGTAGATACAGACAAACTCACTGGAAGGAGGCGTTAGTTCATATTGAGATACTTTAAGATATAATATCTTATTAATCCTTTAAAAGCTTAAAATCTTCAAAGTTAATATAGCCTGACCAGGAACATAAANAAACTCATATACGCTATCGAAGTAGTTAACATACTTCATGATGATAAATGATACCTAGATTGCCAAGTCTCGGCGATGTAATCGATCAGCTCAGCGCGGTCGGCTCTGAAGAACAGCGGGGATCCCCCAAAGTCTGCGTGCTGCCTCTGCAGCGAGCCGACCACGCCGTCGAACGAGCCGTTACGCATGTAGCCCCAGGAGTTCGTGCGTTGCAGCTCATAGCTAAAAAAGTATTCTACGTAGTCTAGGTATTTATTTAAAACTTATATGCACATAAATTACAGTCCATAAGGCGAACTTAATGCCATTCGGCATTCTCCTCCACTCAGCTATATGGCCCTATAACTCTTGTAAAAATGAATCGGGCCTTGTAAAAGCAATGACACCAGCTTTACCTCATATTGTACATATCGCGAATGTAATTCAGCAATGCCACGAACTTCAACTTGTGGAGGGAATCCACTTGAAACACTTGGTGCTTGCTGAGATACTCTTCAAAAGTTTGATGCACAACTTTGTCGGTGACCACCACCGGACACCGCATCTTTAAGCCCTGCAGATCCCTTCTAGAAGAAGTAGCATTTACATGCAAGGATGTATCCCAATATCCCACATTGCGTATCGAAAGCACGCCACTCGAATAATTTGTATGAAACACTTCATACAGCATAAAAATACCATTAGTTTTTAGAGCCACAGTTACATCAGAATCGATCTCAATGGGGCAATTCGTCAATGATCTTGCAGTAGATAGAAGATCTTCAGTGATAATTAACCATATGAATTCATTTCTAAACATGCTGTTGTCAAAATTGTTCAGAGCCTGCTCCCAGTTACTGCATGAAGCATCAAGTATGACCCCAGTTTTATGATATGACCTTTGCATCATATTTTGGTCTGTAGAATTCAAACTCCAGTATGAAGCATGAATATTATTGTCATTCAATATTTTGTGGTGAAAAATACTTTTTTGGCCATCACAATTTATATTGACCACATTTTGGATTTCTTTTAACTTCAGTAAATCAATCACTAGCGATATTTCAGCTATTGAGATGAAATTCAAAAAGTAGTTTATATCCATGGTGCTTGCAAATGAAAATGAGGTGGTAGAGACTAGAAAGTAATAATTTATTTCAACACAAATGACAACAAAATTGCATGAGTAACAAGCTATTACTGTCAACAGTCCAATTCAAATAGATGCAGGTAAACAGCTATAATCAAATTACAGTTCAGAATAAATAATGTTTTACCAAGAAAAGTAACAACAGCAATCAGGGATGAAATATTAATAAGTGGAAAACACATCTTGAAAAGGAAACTCAGCTTTATCTGGCACAAGAAGATCAGCCAAGAAACAGACTGTGCCTGCTGTGCCTTCATATAGACTCTCAGGATTATCAGGAAGCCTGGCATCCCTTAGAAACTCATCAGTAGACATAAAATCAGCAAACTTCTTAGCTCTGTGCAAATACTTCTCATCTCCAGTCAACCTGTAGAGAAGTAAAAACACATATCCATTCCCTGCCACTCCATGGCAAATGCCTGGTCCTTTACGTAGCAGACCTTTACGCCAGACTATTTCTCCAGCTCTCAAACAAACATTGTAATATCTCTGGTCTTTTAAAACTAGATAAGCTTTGGCCATGAGGTAGATAGTTCCTGGGGCTCCATGACACCAGTGAACCAGCTTGTGGTCACTCAAACCCACCTCTTCCATACAACATGGCCAGTTCCCTTCATCAGTCTGCAGGGAAGCTATGAAGTCTATGGTGGTCCTGATGTCTTTAGCTGCTGACTTGTTGAAATCCAAATATCCAGGGACAGATAACAGCATTTGTAGAATGAAGCTAACTCCATGTGCAGCTCCAATGTATTCTGTGTTGTAATAATGGTACATGAGTGGGCAAGGGCTTTTGTGCTTGGTGGAGTACTCCCTGCCACATGCGACCATCACGTCACAGATTTTGTACAGCTCGTCATTTGTGAATACCGGCGTTTGTAACTCGCGAGAGATCCACAAAGCACCAGCCAAGTATCCCGCGCGCCCGACGAAAAATTCGTCACCACCACACTTCAAGAACTTTGGATTGAGAAACTGGCTGTAAAGGGACTTGTACATCTTCAGCATTTCTTGGTACTGCTCATCACCGGATTCCTTCAGCACAACTGTGGCCAAGGCATACGTGCCCGCGTCGCCGAGTAGGAAAGACGTTTTATCGCCCGCAGATGTCTCTAACGCGGGCTTCACATACTCCATAGCCTTTTCTAGGTATCCTCGCTTGTTCTCGGAGAGCAGTGGATTTTTAGACAAGTAGTGAAACATAAAACCGACGCCGGTGACTCCGACGTAGAGGCCTCCGTCGACATTCTTACGCGTCGGCTGCAATCGTTTGGTTATGTTCTTTACATGCTCCGTGATCTGAGCGTTGACGTCGTCTTTGCTGATCGCAAGCTCAGCACCCGGCTGATAATCTTCAAATGGGTTTTGGAAAAACCTTACCATTTTGAGACCAAAAGGACTTACACTTGACAATAACTTTCTAAAAGAACTCAAAGAAAACACTTTGCGCAGGTTCATTTAGCAATAACCATTTCAATCCGCAATTAATTCTACTTCTATCAATTTTCTAGAAATCAAAATGTTGATGCTGTTTTGTTTTTGTTTTTTCTTCTTTGACTTTGACACATGTCATGATGACTCATCCAAGAAAATGACTTTTTTACTTTTAAAGAAACATGTTTGCCAACCACACAACTTTAACTCAGTGCGTTCAAAAAATATTTTTTTTGATTAAATCTAAATAAAACAAAACACTTAAAACTTGAAAATAAATTAACGGGTACAAAAAAGAAAAACTCAGTGGTAATATTTAGTTACATGTGTGTATGAAAATCCATTCGACTATAAGAGTAATAACAGCAGTAAAAGAAATGCATAATAAATTTTATCTTACATAAAAAACTTTAGTCTGAATAGAATATTATTAATATTCTTTCTATTTAAATACCTCATCGTTCTAGGTATTACAATTCTCAGCCTACATAATCATTGTTTTCTTGGAGTTATTTTAACAAAGAGCCTAAATAAGTCAACGTCAGTAGACGATTGATTTGTAACTTAGCAACCAGTTGACACTGTTAAAATGGACCAAAACTGCCTTTTGTACGAATTTATTTTCATAAAATAAAATTCAAGTGGGGCCAATTAGATAAACTTTAGAACTAGTTTAATTGCTTTAAAGCTAATGCCTATCACATACAACCGTGGTAACGTGAGTATAGATTTTTCGTAACATAAACTAAGGCAATGCTATGCATGTTGTAGGTATTGCTGTAGTGTAGGTATTGTGCATATAAAGTTTGATATGTTACATTTTTTGGTTTCTTTAATGTAATGCAACATGCGATATGAATCGAAAGTTTGACGTGATATGTGAGAAATCAATAACACACAGAATGTTTCAGGTCAGGAAAACAGCATTTCGTGCTAGGGGTCGATCGGCGCAATCCCTCGATATTGGTGGGCCGCGGGTGGACGCAGGCGCGGGTGGGGATGGCCGTTTGTTTTTGCAAATACGGCCAGCGTTCGCCGACCCTCGAGCAGCGTTCGCGCAACGCTCTAATTCAACATTATCAGGGTTTGTGCTCAAAATAAATAAACAAAATGTTTGCGAGTTGGATTTACCTACTTTAAGGCTTGGTATTTCTGCTAAAGTAGGTATTTCGCGCTGTCAAGATCTGCGCGCGCAATACTTCGCCGAAGACAGCGCGCCAAAGAGCTCTCGCGGCCACACAGTATAGAAATACGCAGTTAAGAAATACGCAGTTGGTTAGGTTAGGTTGACTTCCTTCCGTTCAAGCGTCACACTCACAGCACTTTCTAATACAAATCATATCCAAGTGATACAAATTAAAACAACAAAATTCAAAATTTTTGGGAATATATTTTAGAATCGAATGAATATAGAATATAACTGCCAAAGTAAACACGGTTCAAAGAGGCGTGGCGTCACCCGACCTTCCGGAAGTTCCGCGCCGGCTAAAAGAATTTCAAGATTACGTTACCCGACCTATCGGTAGATCCTCGGGAGCTTGAGCGATTGGAAAAACATTTTATGATCAGTTACTCGTAGTAGCGATTATTAAGAGCTTGGATAATAAATTATAGTTGTTGCAATTCACAAAGCTTTTCATGTAGTTAATTACATTAATCAGTACACGCATCAATTTTGTTCAGTCTTTTTGTTTATTAATAAATAAAAATATCATACTAAAATTGCATACATATTTGTTTGTATTGGTCTGGGTGTTTTCTTTCCATAATTTATGTATAACGTATGTACGGGGCTCTGTATCGAAAGTCACTATGAGCAATGAGCATCACACACGGTTACCTGGAGTGCATTACCGCAGCAAAATTTTTATAAATGTTTTGCTTTAGAGAGTCCAGAGTATAGCAAATAATTAGTCCATCGTGAGCAGAAATTTGTCCACTAATAGCAAAATTCGTTCAAATTATAGTTTTAAAGTTATTAGGAAAACACAGATTTTTCTGGGGTAACGTTTCAAACATTACCCTGGCAAATTTTTTTTTTGAAAGTCGTTCTATCCCGGAATCAAATACATAGATAGATAGCTCTTGTTGCGTAGTAATTNCGTCCTTCAAACCGGGTCACCAACGAGGAATAAAACCTGTAAGCAGGAATGTCGCTTGTTACACACACGCCGGGCGTGACCACACGTGGCGCATCTAGGCGACAGCAAGCGACTGCACATTGTGTTGAGAAGCGCGAAGTCAAAAGCGAAGCAGATGTTGTTCACCATAAAACCTTCTCCCAGACCAAGAGCAGCAAGGCAAGTGTATCTGCAAAAACCTCTTCTTCGCTGGCACGCAGAAAACAGCTTGAATATGAAGCAGCACAAGCTAAGGCCAAATTGGACCTGGAAGCTGCACAAGCAGAAGCTAAGGCGCAAGCTGCATTGGCAGAAGCTACAGCTGCTCGTACAAAAGCACGCATTGAGAAGGAGCTGCTGGAAAGAAAGTTGGACGCTGATATAGCAGACCTGGACGGATCGCGTCAATCTGCATCATCACAATCCACCAAAGACAAGGTGACACAGTGGTTAGAAACGTCGCACGCTGATCTGAACATTAAACCAGCAGATCAAGCTCCCGCCCGCTGCCCATCAATAAGGAACAGCGAGGTAAATAAGCTGGCAGATGCCCTACGTGAGGCGATCAACCTTGCCTCGTCTTAGGCCGACAAACACTGATCAGCAGCTGCTCACAAGGCTAGCGACATCTAAGGACCTACCACTATTTTTTGGCAACCCCATGGAGTGGTTACACTTTAAAGAAGCGTTCATAGAATCTACACGCATGTGCAACTACTCAGACACAGAAAATTTATGGCGTCTAAGAAAGTGTCTCCGTGGTGACGCAAAGGAGGCCACAAGCTCACTGCTTATCACCGCCACATCACCAAGAGAGGTTATGGATATTCTCGAACTCAGATTCGGCAGGCCTGAAAATATAATGCGTAAGATATCACATCAACTAAAAAAATTGCAGCCCTTGTCGCAAAACTACCACGGTGACATAGTTAATTTTGCCATCAAGATAAAGAACTGTGTCGCAGCTGCACGAGCTATTAACGAAGAGGATTATTTACGCAGACCTGAGCAAGTGTCGATTATTATATCTAAAATGCCGACTACTTTGATTACCAAGTGGGCAGATTACTTACACAACAACCAAAACAACAAAATGTTACCTAAACTTGAAATGTTGTCAAAGTTCCTGTACGCTGAAGCTGAAAAAATTGCATCGTCTGGCGTTAGCTACATACAAAGTCAGTCTGATAACAAGAAGAGAGATTTTACATACAACAGAAACAACCAAGCCGTGTTATTTTGTGCCGATGATAACAACAAGCCGCACACTTCGTTAAAGTGCATGTTTTGCCGGCGTCAATTTCATGCATTAGAAAAATGCATGCGGTTTAAACGTGCTATGCGCAGAGACCGCTGGAGATTCGCACGCACAAATAACTTGTGCTATAGATGCCTACAAAAACGTCACAACGAGCCCTCGGAGTGCACTGCCGCCAACTGCGACGTCGATGAGTGTGGGCAGCCGCACCACCCCCTGCTACATTGGAGTAAACCGGTCTCCTGTAAGGAGCAGCCTGAAAAATCACAAAATCGTTCTAGTGATGAAACAGTAAATAATGTGATCGAATCTCAGTGTCATAAAGTGTTTTTAAAGGTAGTGCCGGTGACCGTGCGCGGTCCTAGTGGTGTAAGTGTTCACACACATGCGTTGTTGGACGATGGTGCGACCGTGACCCTGATCGCGTCCGATATCGCTGATCAGCTGGGACTCCATGGTAAACAAAGTACAATGCGCGCGCGGAGCGCATGGAACGATGAATTGGTATGTCAAACTGAAATTGTTAACTTTGATATTATGAACAGTAATGGTGATATTTTTAACTTGTGTGCTCGAATAATGTCGCAATTAAATTTGCCTGTGCAAAATATTTCAAATACAAGTTTGTTTTCTCAATATAAACATTTAGGTTTATGTAATTGTAGTGCACAGCCAAAATTGTTAATAGGTCAAGACAATTACCACCTTATGACCCCAATTGAATGTATAAAAGACGATGAGCAGCAGTGTGGGCCCTACGTCACAAAAACCCCGTTAGGATGGAGCGTTCACGGATGGATGAGTGACGTCACATTTGTGTCTCTTACTAACTGTTCCGAGCTATACACAGGTGGGTCTGTCGGTGGGCACGCGGACGCTATTTTGAATTTGTCTTTAATTAACTCAATAAATAACAACTCGCCTCTGCCCCCCGCCACAACCCCTACCTTTGACTGTGACTTGTATAGTGATAAGCGACTACACGATGCCGTTCATAGATATTTTTCTTTGGAGTCTACAGGAGTAGGTATTAAACCGCGTCGCAATCCTGACGAGCTACGCGCAATAGAAATTTTAAATGAAACTTCACAATTAATAGATGGTTATTGGCACGTCGGACTGCCTTGGAAATACGACGACTTCGTAATGCCTGATTCATATCCTTCAGCGTTTAAACGCTTATTGTCTGTCGAGCGAAAAATTACAGGTGATGAAGGATATGGCTCTCGATATCGTGATATAATTAAACATTTGTTTCTGAATGATTATGCTCGTGAAATTAGCGAAAATGAACATTTACTTACCCCTAGAGGTCATGTATGGTATTTGCCGCATTTTGGGGTTGATAACCCCAATAAACAGAAGCTGCGATTAGTTTAAGATGCAGCTGCCAAATCTAAGGGATGCTCACTTAATGATTTTTTATTACAAGGCCCGGACTTGTTACAGTCTTTGTTGGGTATTATGTTTAGGTTTAGGGAACATCCTGTAGGTGTTATTGGCGATATAAAGGACATGTTTCTTAGGATAAAGATTAGGGATGAGGATTGCCATGCCTTTAGATTTCTCTGGAGAGATTCCAGTGACGTTAACGTTCAAAAGTACGTCATGACGTCTGTAACGGATACAACGCGATTTCAATAAAAAGACACGAATACATTTACGAAAATGGTGATTACGGAGGAGACGCAAAGTACGTGCGTGCGCGATCGTGCCAAAAGATGACTGAAAAATTGATCGATCGATTTCCGTATTCGACAAAACTAGCGGGCACGCGCCCGCCCCTCCCGCGCCTCTTGCCCCTCGCGAATCTGCTGTCTTCGCGTCACCTGCGCAACACCTTACGTTTAATTAAGCCAAATAAAGAATACATAGTTAGGTATATAACAAAGGAACTAGGTATTTAAGTAAAAACAAATAATGCATTCACGCGTCGCCTACACTCCCCCCCTTAGTGCTGCTACAGCACTCATCACCCATTGCTATACGTGCGACGCGGGTCGCATTCCGCCGCAAGAGCCCGGACTTTGTCTTTATGTCAACTACTCGGACTCGCCCATCTCTGCCGGCTAGTACAGCCTGGATCAAGCCTTTCAGCCACACGTTTCTAGGGGAGCTGGGGTCTACAATCAGGACAAGATCTCCCACTTTCAGGGGTTTCTGCTCATCTTGCCACTTCTGTCTCGGACGCATATCAGGAAGCACCTCCCGCACCCAGCGCCTCCAAAACATGTCTGCCAATCTTTGACTTATACGCCATTGTTTTCGAAGGTTCATATCAGATTCATCAAAGGCACCAAGGGTTGGTGAGCCTGAGGAGGTTCCGAGTAAGAAATGATTTGGAGTAAGTGATTCTGTACTATCTGGTTCAACTGTGACATGTGTGAGGGGACGGCTGTTTATTATCTGTTCCACTTCAGCCATCAGTGTTTGGAGTGTTTCGTCACGTGGAGCTCGTTCTTTCAATACTACCTTAAGTGTAGTCTTCACACTTCTAATCAGCCGTTCCCACGCACCTCCCCAGTGTGGGCTAGCTGGGGGTATAAAAATCCAAGAAGTTGTCATACCGTAGGTTGTAGCTCCCTCTTTCAGCAGTTTCTCGTCTAGTTCTAGGATGCATTTCTTCAGCTCAGCATCAGCCCCTCTCAGGTTCGTACCATTGTCCGAATATAAGTATCTTGGCCACCCTCTTCTGGCCGCCATCCGCCGGAGAGCCATTATTAGTGCATCAGTAGTCAGACAGTTCACGATTTCAATATGAATGGCTCTAACGGTTAAACAGGTAAAAATTACACCGTACCTTTTTTCTCGATGGCGGCTGACAGTCGCTTCCAGAGGTCCAAACAAGTCAACTCCGGTAAAAGTAAAGGGGCGCTGATGGTGAGCGACCCGAGCTTCAGGTAAGTCACCCATTCTGGGTGGTTGAGGTTGAGCCCTCTTGATGCGACACAACATACATTTCGAGGTTATATATTTCACCGTCGGTCGAAGTCGTAAAATCCAGTACCTCTGCTTCAATTCATTCACGACCGTTTCCTGATTACCGTGGCATGCTTTTATGTGGTAGTACTTAACAATGTGGTGAGTGATATGGCAGCGGCCGTCGAGTATGACAGGTTGTTTCACGTAGGTAGGTATATCTTTTGCAGCATCGATGCGGCCAGCCAGCTTCAACAGACCATCATCGGCGAGCACCGGCGATAAGGTAAGTAACTTACTTTTGCCATCTAACCTTTTGTTATGTTGCAGGTTGTGCAGGTCATCTGGGAATGCTTTCATCTGGGAGTACTTCAACAACAAGTTCTCAGCGCGTTCCATTGTCGCGCCATCTGCACCACCAGTAGAAGCTTTCTTGCATCTATCTATAAAACATAACACAGCACACATAGATCTTACCAACCGGAGCCATGAAGAAAACCTTTCAGGTTCAGGGACAGCAGGTAAACACTCACTTGTAACTTGAATATTGTTTACACATTCTAGGTCGCAAATTTCAGGTGGTTGTATTTCTACCTCTCGGGGCCACGATTGCTCTTCTACTCATTTTTCAAAGTATTGATATCGCAGGATTCTCGTGTGGCGATATCGGCGATGTTCAATTTAGTAGGTATGTATCTCCATTCATTTATTTCCGTTAGTTCGTCCAACTCGCCTAATCTATGAGCGATGTACGCCTTATAATTCCGTGCATCATTGCGTATCCAATATAAAACCGTAGATGAATCACACCAAAATATTTTTCTTTCAGGTTTAATTCTGTGTTCGTGAATTATGCTGTCGGCTAATCTTCCCGCCATAACGGCCGCCTGTAACTCCAAGCGCGGCATAGATACGTACTTCACAGGTGCGACGCGGCATTTACTAGATACAAAGGCGACTTGAACGTTTTGTTTATAATCAATCCAACGCCAGTAAGCTGCTGGCAGCAGCCTGCTGCACACATCGCTTGTGTGGACGCATCACAAAATATGTGTAGCTGTAGGTGTGCATAGCGCTCAGCTGCGGGTCGCTGCGAGCTGTGCAACGCGCTCGCTCCCACATCGTGTGTCGCGCCCTCTCGCACAGCTTCTGAGTCGTCGCGGTAATTATCTCTCGTTGCCGCCTCGTAGTGTCTCGGTAGACGTATTTGACTTAAGTTTTTCAGTATGTTTAGCCACTCTGTCCACTTGATAAATATTTTGTCTGTTATTTCATCGTCCCAATTAATGCCAGATCTCCAGGTGTCCTGTAACATTATTTTCCCCTTGATAGTGATAGGCGATAAAAACCCGTAGACATCAAATATCGACATGAGCACACGCAGCATCTCTCGTTTAGTAGGTTTTTTGTGTCCTGCTAATATTGGCGCGGGAATTCGTTTGAATGACACATCAAAACTTAGGCTGTCTTCAGACGGGAACCAAATTAGGCCCAAAGTACGTTCGCCTTCATATTCTTGTCCACTTCTGAAAGTTACAGGTGTCGATTTCAAGCTTTCTTTAGGTAGATCGCGAAGTACAGACTGAATATTTGAATTCCAGTTTCTCAATTCGAAGCCGCCTTGCCCGTGAATGTAGGTGACGTCATTCACAAGCTGAGTTGCCATATTTGCATGTAGTGTTGCTTATGGACTGCTAGGACAGCGGCCGGCATGGATGACTCAAATCTCTCGGCGTTTTTATTTTTCACAAACTGTGATACGAAGGGCGAGCAGTTGGCACCAAAAATAAGGGTGTGCGTCAGAACCGCGGGTGGGGTGTCATGAAATCGAATGAAACATATTCTGGTATTTAGTAGTGTTTTACTATTATTTGATAGCGAAGATAAAAATTTTAGTACTTATCTATAAACAAAATTAAACGAAAAACAAAGTTCCACCGCCAACCTGACGTCAGGATGGCGGGTGGGTAGTTGAACGGTGTACAATACTTAGAAACTGTAAATGCCAATTTTTAGTATCTCTTCATTAAATAAATAAAATAATGTTAATTCTTATCTACGCCTTTTTATTTACTTGTGAAATATATTTTTTTCAATGTCGGAAGCCATACAAAAAAAAAAATACCAATGATAGACCTTGATATGTCCAAATTAGTTCAAACATTAGTCATTGATTTGAATGATAAACACCAGTGTAATTAAATGATTTCGAAAATCAGATAAAACGGATTTGTGAGTAAACCAGTACTCTTACAATCGAATAAAAAGGTGTAGCATGTACCCTTGGTACACCTTTATAACCACAGAAGAAATCTAATTTATTTTAATAGTCTTACTTTCGTGGCCGAATACGCGATCCCTTATAACAAGGGAACAAACATGGCATACAATGGACAAATTAAAATGTTCCTTGAATAAGCTATCCTGTTAATTTCAGCTTTATATTACGACTTATAAGAAAGTTATCGGACTGCAAAAAAATGTCAGAACAAAGGTGTTTGTGTAGTGTAGTTGACTTGAGAGGTCAGATTATTGAAATAGTAAAACGAACATTTTATTTTTTAAATACATTTTAAAAATAATTTACATTACAGATAACAATGAGAGGATGACATTGCAAGGTGGTGCCAGTCCAGTCTTAAATCCGTTGATATATGCTGCATCTGCCATATTGTTTTTGGCTAAAAGATTCTTCTATCTTGCAGTTTAGACTTTTATTACAGACCTCAGACAGTATTTTTGGAAAACTTTTACGCATGGTGGAGGAAGAGACGCTCTACACACTCAAGTCTACAAGGAGTCACATCAACTCCAGTTTTAAATCCGTTAACATCTGCTGCATCTGCCATCTTTTTGGTTAGAAGATTCTTCCATCTTGCAGCGTAGACCTTTAGCTACAGATCTTAGACAGTATTTTTGTGAAAATTCTTACGCATGGTGGAGGAAGAGACGCTCTAGACACTCAAGTCTACAAGGAGTCACATGAACTCCAGTTTTAAATCCGTTGACATCTGCTGCATCTGCCATCTTTTTGGCTAGAAGATTCTTCTATCTTGCAGCTTTGACCTTTAGCTATAGACCTTAGACAGTATTTTTGAAACATTCTTACGCATGGTGGAGGAAGGGACGCTCTAGAGACTCAAGTCTACAAGGAGTCATATGAACTCCAGTTTTAAATCCGTTGACATCTGCTGCATCTGCCATCTTTTTGGCTACAAGATTCTTCTATCTTACAGCTTAAACCTTTAGCTACAGACCTTAGACAGTATTTTTTATTATTTATTTGTGTCAGTGTGCTCTTCTAAAGAGTGTAAGACGATTGTATGTAGGTACTATTAAAATGTAATTTTAACTCATTGGTTTTGTCTCATATTTGAGGAATGTACTATGTATCATGAGTAGAGTCTTCGTTTAAAAGGATGCGAACGATTTAAATTTCAATAGGTAGACAAAATTGATAATTCTTAATTATCAAAAATTTAAGCTTTCTCCAGTAACACTGATATTATTATACTGTGACTCATCAAAGTCATCATTGTCAAAAATATTGACAAATCGCGAACTGTCACGGCCAAAAAACTGACACGCGTCCGTCCTCCGTAAGCGCCACCGCGCGACTGATTGAGATTGTCCAAGCCGTCATGGACGATTTTTTCCACATTTTTTAACATAGTAACTAAATAAGACGCAATATAAAAATTTCATCCGTTAAAAGCCCTCAAGTTATTTCTGAACTTTAGTTTAGTAAAAGATTTAGAATCTCAAATCGCTTATTTTAAAAATAAAACCATAAATAGAAAACGAATAGAGGTAACTTTGGGAATTTATTCTATCGAGTCAACTTCATCAAATCGTGTTTCCATCCGTTAATAGCCCTAGAAAATATCCTCAACTATGCCCAATAAAAATCTTAGCCTTTAATTTTACTGTTTAGTACCTCAAAAATGAAAAATGAAAACCTCATTTTCGCCATTTTCTCTGCTACCCGGCCTTAATTAATAATTTTTACCACAGAAATGATTTTTTACCAAAAGAAGATGGCAAAGACGACGCAATTAATTTACAAGCTGTGGGAGAAGGAAAAGTACAGCTTTCAAGAACTGCACAGGAAAAGGATCGATTACCAGATAGGATAACTTTGGATAGGTAAGATTTTTAATTCGACTCTATGACTTCTCAATATTCGTTTAAATTTTAAAATAAGTAATTAAAATTTGTGGATTGACGTTTAACCAATTATTAAATCATTATTTGTCTGGTTCCAAATGAACAAAGGTATTTATAGAGTAATAATCGATTCTTCGTTTCAGGAGGGGACTATCATCTATTCCCCATATAGTTGGAGAGCCTGGTCTAAGATTATTGTCACTACAACATAACTTAATCAATAGCCTTTCAGGTCTGTCACCTTTAGATTTAGGGAAACTGGTATTCCTAGATGTGTATGACAATCAAATAGATAAAATAACATGTTTAGAAAGACTTTTTAGTTTAAGAGTGCTTCTTATGGGCAAAAACAGGTAATGTAGTCTCTAAAATTTTATTGTTGGTACGAAAGTACTTGCTTACGAAAAAGTTCTTCATCAGATTTGTTTATTTCAGAATCAAAAGAATAGAAGGACTTTCAAACCTGATAAAGTTAGAAGTTCTGGATTTACACGGAAATAGAATAACTAAAGTTAGTGGCTTATCTAATCTAAGTGAACTAAAAGTACTTAATTTAGCTGGTAATCAAATAAGATGTATTGGACAAACTGACCTTCAAGGGTTAGTGTCATTGAGAGAACTGAACTTTAAAAGAAATCGTTTGAAGAAAATGCTTGGATTTCAACACACACCAAAGTTGCAAAAACTTTACTTGGGTAACAATGACTTGCAAAGGTGAGTTTTAATTTCAGGATAATAAGACATTTATTTCGAGGCAGTTAGAAATAAAATTAATAATACATGTTTTATTACTATTGCAGTGTAGAAGATGTTTCATCTCTAGCTGAAGCTACTTCATTGATCGATATAGCTTTGGATGGAAATCCAGTTGCATTGGGAGGAGACATTACACCGTTTCTAGTATCTTATCTTCCAAACCTGTTAACGCTAACAGGCATGCACGTAACAGATCAAGTATGGATTTTAACATCAGTGTATCAGCTATTTTATCTGTCTGTATGAGAATTTAAGCACGTTTTTATCTCACAGGTTCGAAGATCCGCAATGGCTTGGCGAAGTAATAAAGAAGCTGCTCATGCAGCTTACTGTGCTCTAGGCGGGACGGCACAGCAAGCAGCACGACGTGATCAAATCATACATAATGCACGGACTAACTGGGAGTTACTCAGGTGCTAACTTGAACCGCATTAACCATTTTTTAGAGATACAAAACCATGTTTTATAACTTATAACGCATTTTATACAATAAAATAGACACACCGCGTAGGCTTCCTAAAGTTAATTTCATATAATTTCAGGTCGGAAAACAAATGTTTTTCTACTGCGAGTCAAACTAAAAATGTAGATGCGGAAAAAGAATTTGAATTAGACTCATCTTCAGCAGTTGTCACTCCAAGTGAAATACAAACTGTTGAGACTTCAAATCTTCCCGATGTTGTTATTTCACTACAACACGTAGACGCTGAGGATTCAGACTTTAAAAATAGTAACAGTAACACTAACATCAAAATAAACAACGAGAACGTGGCAAAAGTATCGCAAACAAGAAAACTACAGCGAAGTTCTACAGCAAAACCTTCAGAAAGACGTGTTAACTTTTCAGAAAGAAGCGCCTCTCAAGACACAGATGCTTCACATTCAACTTCTACGAGTAGTGATTTGCGTTTACCACCGATTCTTTTACCTATAATATCGTCATTAGAAAACGTAAAACTATCCGATGGCACTGAACCAATATTAAAACGATGGGAAAGTATTTCTAGTGTAGATCCAATAGTTGACTCTTCATTTAGTTCATTACCATCGTCATCTAGTGACAGTGAAGAAGAAACAAGAAAAAGGCAAATAAGACGCATGCCAACAGCTTTGAGACGTCGTGATTTTAGCACTATGCGTTCAAAATCAGTTTGTGATCCTGAAAGCCGAAGGATAAAAAACAAAAACTTTGATAATAGTGAGAATGCTAGCAATATTTCTAGCAGCACAAACGTGGGTTCAGTCGCTACACCATCCACATCGGGCAGTGAACAAAATAGTAAAATATTAAGAAGAGAAGGTTCTATTAATAGTAGAAATGGTAGTAGGAATATAAGAAGTGCAACAATATCCAGGAGAAATGAAAGAGCTTCATCAGCCAATCGGGCTTCAACAGCAAGAGCAAAACCTGGAAAAAGTCTAGCTAGTTTCAAATCATCTGAACCAGTTCCAAAGCCTATTTTGCCTTTGTCTAAAGACAGAGAACAAGGTTTGTTTGCAGCAATACTTTTTGCGTATTTGCAATCATAATATAATTCAGTACTTTCTAAAAAGATTTTTTTTCTTTTTCAGGAGTTGATTATCTAGTTGAAGTTTGTGATGGTGTGGTCAGTGCATGGGGAGCCGGTGCAGTTAGGCGTCTTTCTAGAGACTGGGACTGGGAAAGAGCTCGGACAGTTTCTCGTGCTGCTTTTCATTATGTACACTTCAACGCCGTAGCACAATCTTTGCCTGAACTTAAAACAAAGTGAGTACCTACTTATGATTTTTAAACTTCGGCAGTTCGCCCTATAAAATCACTAAAAATATACCATGATTTTTTTACAGGTTTCCGAATGTAACTCATATATCCGTGAGAGCAACTGGTCTTCAGTGGCTTGGCCAATTACATGCTTTAGCAGAGTTACGTGGCTTAACTGGTTTGTCAGTTATGTCTGAAGGCAACCCAATACATACAAAGATTTGGCGAGAATATGCTGTGTACCGACTAGCACATTGGGGCCTAAAAGAAATTAACGATGAACCGGTAACCTGCACTTCTTTGTATAATTATTTGATAAGTAATATTATTTAAAACTAGTTTTGATTATGAATTACTTTTATAAGGTAACTGATGAAGATATAAAAGCTGCAAACCAAACATATGGCGGTCTTAGCGATATAGTGCTACGAGCTTTACCAGATGCTCCATTGCAACCACTTTTATCACGATTGGGGAGAAGCGGAAACAGTTCTGTTAGTGCTAAAGCATGGTTAAGAGCAGCAGATCCGGCTTTGAGAGATGTAATAGCAAAAGAAGCTCTTCAATATAAGAAAGGGAATGTGTCTCAGGTAATGATTGTTTGCTTTCAAATATTTTTTTATATTTTAAGTAAAAGTAATATTTAATATCCATTGTTCCTAGCAGGAAGATATGAGTTGGAGAGTACGTGGTCGCGGACAATTATCACATGCTATAGAACTAGCTTGCGGAGCTGCGCAACGGTTGCGAACTCTTGAACTTCAATGGCCTACAATGCTTATAGAAATGATAGAAGGTATACTACGAGATTTCTCCGATATGGAAGGCCACGTGAAAGAACAAATGCGTATGCTTATGGATACTTTATAAAATATGTTCTGGTTTAAGGTAATTTATTGGTAAAAATTCAAGTAGTTACATACATAACCAACTGAGTACCTACACGTTTACTTTATTCAAAAACATTGAAATGTCCAATCCTGCTTGAAATATAAATTTTTAAGTTTAATCTGATAAAATCACAATAATACTTAATATCTGAATTCATTTTTGTGTAATATTATTATCTATTACTGACCCAGTTTCGAGTTGAAGAGTAAGCAAAATGTAATAATAGAATCGAATGACTGACGAAACATGACTTTTTAAAAACCTTTATAAATACCGCCAAAGTTTTCATTATAGTGGTAATAATGTTAACCTACAAGCAAACAATAAAAATGTCTTCATTACAATCAAAAAGTATCGAATTATCCAATGCACACTATATTTATCAGTTTTTATTTATTTATAGGATAAACTAGCTGACCCGGCGAACTTTGTTCCGCCTTAATGGCACTAAAAAGTATCCTATGTCCTTCTCCTGGCTCTAAACTACCTCCCTGACAATTTTCAACTAAATCGGTTCAGCCGTTCTTGAGTTATAAGCGAAGTAACTAACACGACTTTCTTTTATATATATAGATATTTATTGAATTTGTAGTCTTTGTGGACTGAGATTTTATATTTGCTCAAAAATAGGGATAGTTAGCAAAATATTGTATTTCAGTAATTTAGTAGCTATGAATAATTTAGTCAATTTTGATAGATGCATACGGCGATATGTAATTTTAAGCCACTTTTAGAGTTATAGACACGACTGCCTTGCGTGTGCCTGTGTAGAAATAAAGAGATTTTATAAAACATGCCTTTTATTTTCGTACCCGCAAGGTATGCGTAGTACTTAGGAGTAGGTAATAAATCGTTAACTTAACTACAAAGACTGATATCAAGAACATTCACCGTGGTCGTAAAGTAAGTAGCGCACACCGATTTTAAAACATTTTTTTTTTCACCATTGCTACTGACGTAGAAACAACAATAAATGACAATTATTATTATAGGTTTAAATTTCATTTTGTCGAAACTGAATTTCATTATCACCCGTAACGTTATTAATTTATCAGTAACATGTTTATGAGATGTATTATAATAGGTACAGTCGAGTCCATAAATATAGCGGCAGTGCCCATATTTCAAAATATTGTAGCGCAGTATTATAAACACTGAGCTACCGCAACATGTTTATGATATTATGATTACATTTTATTGGTGTTTGATTTTTTATTGAAATATGATCGTTATGACGCTAACAATATTTTGAAGCATTGGCACTGCCAACATATTTATGAACTCTACTGTACTTAAACTAATGAATAATGTGAGTTATAGCCTGACCAGGAACATAAAAACCCTCGCCATGTTGCAGAAATCTAATGGTACTAATTTCTTTTAATGGCAACAATAACTAAAAACTTCATTGACATGTCACCTTGCATGTCAGTCTATTGCTGTCAAAGTGTAAACAAACTTTATTTTAAATGTGCGCAATTGATTTTGTGAATGAAATTGCTAAAATCTTTTTATAGTCGTGAAAGAAAAGTGGTTCACAATGTGTTAAAGTATTTGTCGAAGAGAAATACCAAGGGTTCGGACAATATTTTCATTGAATAATGTTTCCAACAAAGGTTGTCAAATTGACTGACATGTTTATCGTATAGTACAGTCCACTATGAAAATTAGCTGTGGTTTGTTTCAACTACCTATTTTAAAGTTTTTTGTCACTTTCTAAGTGTTGAATTTTATGGAATTGGGAAAGAAGTACCGAGTTTGAAGCGTTCATTAGCAGACATTGCAGTTGAATATTCAAGTTCTGAATTTGATTATTGATGAATAATAAAATAAATCCTACTAGCTCGATTGATGGTTTCATTTAATTTATTTAAACCAGGTTACCTATAATAATATGTTTTCGTTAATTTATGAAAATATTAAATTAGCCCGTAATCCTTAATCCTGATAAATAAAGTTAGCCTATTAATTTAACACAGGTACGACTGTACTCAGTGTTGCACTATCAAATGCGATTGATGCGCCTCTATGCCAGGGTTTTTATGTTCCTGGTCAGGCTATACTGACATAAATGCCGTCTCCTTCGCAAACTATACTATACGCTCGAAACTATATTACTTTTTGCACATACCTAATTTCGTGCGAGTTGAACGCAGCATAATTGCATGGCTGCCAACCTAACGCCACTGACATGACTGTCACCACCTCAGCTGACATTGACAGTTGCGTGGAACAGCTGCTTTGTTGTCGGAGTCGGGACGTATTGTCAAAAGTTAGTTAAAATAATCACCTTCGAATATTTTATCAACTAACGACTTCTCCTATCATTAGCAATGAAGGTTTGAGTATCGTGCGCGCGATGGACGACACAGAGAGCACCACCACATCGGCTGACGAGAACACTGGCAACTTGTGCGACAACCCGACACGGGATACCTTAGCCGAAGGCCTACTAGGCCTCCTGAAGCCAACGGTTGACCAACTAGACGATAGAGTAAGAGCTACTAGGTAAGTCTAACTTCAGTTTAACTTGTAATTAATTATTGTAAAAAATAAAAACTTATTAAAAATTAAATACCTTGTCTTCCAGGATTTCACAACTGGAATTGAAGCAGCAGATTGATTCTTTGAACGAAGAGCTTCAGAAGGTGCGAGAGGCGCTCAACAACCACCCTGATTTGGACCCTTATGTTAAGAAATTGATCGCCTGCAAACACAAAGTGACTGTTGTACTTAATGTCTTACAAGCCTCACAAGTAAGTGTTATTTCATAATAATTTCCCTCCACATACCCTAACTTCATACCTATGCAAAAAGTGATTCAGGATTTCATGGCCATCTAATAAGAATAACATTTATTTTCCAGGATAGACTGAATGAGATTAGACGCACAATTAATAAAGAAAAAAGTGTTCGTCCTACAGTAATATCGGAACCAGCGCCTCAAGAACCTGAGCAAAGCACTAGTGGAGTCATATCAGAGAGAGGGAGCATCAACTGACATGGAGACCCCCTACCAAAACCACATAGACAAAAAGGAGTTTGACCATGTCTATGAACCAGCCGAAGATAGCTTCTTACTCATAGATGCTATCGAAAAAGATTTACAGTACCTAAAAGCAAAAAACCCCACATTTTGTTTAGAAGTTGGCTCGGGCAGTGGTTTAGTGATCACTGCTGTAGGTATGGCATTTCCAGGGACATTTTGCATGAGCACAGACGTCAACTATAAAGCTTGTGTCATGTCACGAAGTACAGCCAATCATAATAAGGTGATCTTGGACTCTGTGAATATGAATCTGGTTGATTCTTTCACTGATCACATGTTTGATGTTATATTGTTTAATCCACCATATGTGGTGACCGAAAGTGACGAGTGTGGTGGCAAAGATATCACTGCAAGTTGGGCAGGAGGAGTGAAAGGTCGAGAGGTGACCGATAAACTACTGGATATGATACCAAAGAAGCTAGCACGCAACGGCACATTTTATCTTTTGCTGATCGAAGAAAACATTCCAGATGAAGTAGCTGCAATCATGGCAGCACTAGGGTTTACTTCTGAGATAATTATAAGGAGAAAAGTTAGAAATGAACAACAGTTAGTGATGAAGTTTTGCAGATAAAACAGTGTTAACATAATAATGTTTTTATCATAAGATTTAATTGAAAAATATACAACAAATGTTATATTTGTAATAATGGCTTTTACTGTTTAAGGTTCTTCTTGACAGCTTCTCCAAATGCCTTAGCTCCTTCTTCATTCTCAGCATAACCAGGTAGAGATTCACATTGTTTGACCCAACGGGTGATATTCAAGAACTTTGAAATGTCCCATCCTACAGCCTGAAACAAGAAGTTGTTTTAGTTCACTAGATACAATCATTAAAAATACATAATAGTCTTTGGTGATGTGTTACTCACAAGTATGCTAGACAAAGATGCATAGATAGATGTGTCTGCAATGGTGACATTATCACCAGCTACCCATTTGCTTTCACTCAAAAACTGCTCAAGAAAAGCAAGGGTTGAATTGAGGTCATCTTTCAGGTTTGGTTTTATCTCCGTTTCTCCATGAAAAAGTATTGGGAACTGCAAAATAAATGTAATTAGATTCTAGACATTAATTTATACATAAACATACATTATTATCACCTGCAATTTTAATTATTAGGAACGTTGTACGTACACAAATCGCTCTTATTTTCACGTAAAGAGAAGAGCTATCAAAATACAGTCTCTGGTTTACAAGGGCGCGCCGTTTTAAATCTTTAGGATAAAGAAGGTCATCCTTGCCAAACTTATCAGCTAAGTAGCTCGCAATCGCTCGGCTTTCCCAGAGAACAAAACCGTCGTCGTCCAACGTTGGTATGCAATGTTGAGGATTCAACTTTATAAAACTTTCCTTGAGTTGTTCTTTTTTGAATAAGTCCACTATCTCTATTTCTATAGGCACGCCAATTGATCTAGCAGCAAGCAATGCACCACGAGAAGGGCCGCTAAATGGAAAATGATACAGTTTTACAGTCATTTTTTAAAAGAGAAAACAAACACGAGTTCAGTGAAAGTTGAAACAAAACAACAAAAATTATTTTAAGGCAAAAAAAAATAAAAGAAAAAAACATATACAGTGGGTCTAGACAAAGTGCAAATCATAGAGAAAATGCAAATTATAATCGCAAACCAGTCGAAAAGTGGTCGAAAAGCCCCTTTTTTGTATGGAGTTTTGACGGATTCGATTTTCGATTCGATCAAAAAGTGTGTTTTGTCTAGGGGGGCAGGTTTTTTTTCTATAATGCTACCATAATCTTAGTGCCTACGGACTTTATTAACAAGCAGTGTTGGCCATTTGGCTCTTGTCCCATTAAACGGTAAAATAGTAATGCCAATTTAATAAAGTTTTGGTTTTGTTTATTTGTTTTGTTGTGATAATTTGTAACAAATTAAATTTACTTTCTTTCCCTAGCGTATTAGTTTCCATGTTAAAAATAAATAAATAATTAATTATGAATAACAAAATACTATGTAGGATTTGTTTGACCCATTCTGTTGATCATACAAATATGTTTAATATTTTCTCAAAAGAAGACAAAGTGATGATTTCTACGAAATTAATGCTCATCGCAAAAATAGAGGTAAGCTCTTTAGCATTATGTACTCCTTATTACCTTTAATCTTTATTAACAGTCAATTAAGTTGTCTAGTTCCTGGCTTTTTAGTTAAATTATTTTTTGTTTGCCAAAATGTTTTGGGGCTCTATTAATACTTACATGTATCTTTTCAGATTTATTCAGATGATGGTTTACCTACCATGATATGTTCTAAGTGCCTTACACTTCTAAACAATTGTCTCGACTTCATTGATTTGTGTCGAGTGTCTGACCAACAACTACGGGCTTCCCTCAAAAATAAGTTGGAACTAACTAATCATCAGACTGACACATATGATTCTGTAAATAGTGATGATGATTCCATGAAAATTGAACAGAACTCCACAGATGAGGGCACAATTTATGATAGTAAAGTTATAGCTAAAATTCCCAAAAATATTGATAAAAAGAAGAGAGGAAAAAAGCAACAATGCTCTATTTGTGGGAGAGTCATGTCATCATCGTGAGTCCTAGCCAATAAAATTTATGATTTTTACTTTTGTGGCTCTATTCCCTATTATACTCTTGTAGCTGAATAAGTAATAGACAATTTGACACGATTGCCCAATAATTCGAAATCACACACACAATTTTTCTAAAAAGACTTTATTTTGGTCTTAAAAACTTAATTAATTACCTGTAAATTACAATTTTTGGTCGCATTGTAATTGAAAAAGTACTTTATTTGAGTTAACAAATTGTGCCATACAAAATCCATGGAGTTTCGTTTTGACAGTAGGTACAATAGTTTTAAAAAGTACAATAAAATTGATTGGTGGTGTCAACACGTCTATTGTAAATTTTTTTACCATTTTCAGATATCGACTCAAAACACACTTGGTTACACACTCTGGAACTCGTCCGTATTCTTGTCCCCACTGTGGAAAACATTTCTCGCTTCCAGAGAACCTCAAAGTTCACCTAAGGACTCATACAGTAAGAATTGTGTATTAAAATAAAAAATGCCCTTTTACTTTACAAAAAGCCTAAAAAAGTTTGGATGGAGCTTAAAGTGAAGAACTATTTTTCTTCACTTTAAGCTATTGGGTAAATTAATATAAAACATTCCAATGTCATTATGAAACCTTAGAATATCCCAAAGGTTATAATTTATTAGGGTAATTATTTGTAGAGGTACTCTAAGTTGATCAATTTCTTCTACATATTTTTTTATCATTTGCTGTAATCATAGTTTAATTTTTGTTTACTAAAAAATAACATAATATTTTATTTAGTAACATATTTGGATTTCAGGGTGAAAAGCCACTTAGTTGTTTGATATGTGGCGAATCTTTCGCCCAATCTTCAGGGCTGATAGCCCACAGGAGGAAACATACTGGACAGCTGCCATACCAATGTAAACTATGTCCACGCAGTTTTCGAACAATAGGACATTTGCAGTATCATACAAAGTTAGTATATTTTTTTACAAACAATATTTATAATAGTTTGTATTTTTTTTGTATTGCTGTTTGTATTCTTACAGAAGACACACGGGTGAAAAGAAATTCGAATGCGACACATGCGGTCGAGGGTTCATCACGCGAGGTGACTTGAAGCAGCACATAGCAACCCACACGGGTGATCGCTCTCATGTCTGCACTATATGCGGCCTGCGACTTACTCGGGCTTCCAACCTTAAGAGACACATTCACCAGTTACATAGTCGCGCTGAAACTACCTTTAGCAACTCGAAGACTGAAAAAGATAATCAAAAAATACGTAACGATAGGTTTAAAGAGACAGAAGCAAAATAAATTCACATTATTTAAATTAGAATTTATTTATTTAATTCATAAATAAAATAAATTAATAAATATTTCTATGTATGACGCGTATTTTCATTATTAACATTATGCCCATGTTTGGATTGGAACCTTAATGTTTGTTTTTTTTTAAATTAAATAAATGCCTTCATGGTAATTGAGAATGTTACTAGGTATGCAAAATCACTTGAAACCTATGTTACAGTTAAGCTTTTACATTTACAAATAGATTAGTTTTTATTTCATTCAAAAATACCCAGTAGTTATGATTTTATAGGCATTCAAAGTTCGCTTAAATATTGAGTCCCGCCGACGGTCACGTGACCCCGTGTGACGTACATTCACAGCGTCCGCTCACTAGAAAACGGATATAAACATACTTAAATAATTTTTTTTTGTAAATACAAACTTATTATACATATTAACACCCAGACCCATCACAGAAATTAAAATTGAACCAAACCCAAACTTGATGCGATTGTGTCGTTTTATTGCGAATTACCTTCCAGCTCCATCATTAGACCCCGATTACTATATAGAATTAAAATACTCATCAATACAAAACGAACGAGCCCAAACTCGATGCATTTAAGTCGTTTTATTATAGAGTTCCTATGGCCACCTTCCAGCTCCATCATCAGATCAGCTCCATGTCATCATAATATTGCATGGTCATCCAAATCACATGTGTTTGCGAAATTTCAGCTTAATCGGTTGCCTGGAAGTGGGTCTTAATTCAGTTTGCAAGATTCCACCCATACAAATATGAGCCAGTCGTTGTAATATGACGTCACGCGCATAAAATGGCGGGCCGGCCGCCGCCCGCACTTTTAAAATTCAATATCTTGGAAACTAATTGACGTATCGAAATAATTCTTTCACGTGTATTTTTTATTTTTAACAGAGAATACAGAAAGCTAAAAAACAAAATTAGTGAACATTCTTCATTTGAAGTTGCATCAAAAATGTTGAGCTTAGTAAAATACGTCCCTGGCAAACCGGCAAATACCGCTCTGTGTACCTAATGTCAAATCAACTATTTTCCCGTTTCTACTATTGCATGAAGAATGAATATGATTATGAACTCGCGACACGACACGCTACATTAATAATCAGGCATTTAAAGATCGTAATCTGGGGGCACGGCAGTGCCCCCACCAAGTCGAGCAAAAAAGCGGCACGGCCGTACCATCCTTTTCTCGAAGCAATTCAGGCCATTTTCGACCGCCTGTAACTTCGTTGTGGATAAAACTAGAAGGCTGAATTTTCATTAGCTATGCAGGCATTGTAAAGACACGGTATGTTTAAAATTTCATTCAATTTGAACCAGTAGTTTACGAATTATAACGGGTCAAAGTTACTTAATTTTGTCACTCACTGACTCACTGACTGACTCACCGATCATCAAAATTCTAAGGCACTTCTAGCAGACCTAGAAGCTTCAAATTTGGAATATAAGTAGTGTTTGGTGTATGAATCAAGGAAAAACTAAAATAATTTGGGGGCATGGTAGTGCAACCGCCAAGTCGAGTAAAATTTTTCAATTTCGGTCCAGTTTTCTAGATACCTACATAACTGCTGTAAAATTTATGTAAAACGTTAAAGATTTCCTGGCCTGGACTTGGTATTACATGGATCTCACAACTTTTTACCGTAGAACAACTGAGTTGCGAGACTTGGTTTTTTTGACAAGTATTGTTTTTGATGGGATCTTTTAGACTAGGTATTTTTTATCATAATTTAGCCATAAAGTTAATATCTTTATGAATTTAGCAAATAATTGCACAGCAAAGCTATGAAAGCAGTGTAAGGGCACGTATATAACGTCTCTCCTTAAAAAAAAACAAAGAAGGGGCAAACAAGCGGTTCTAAAAATCCGTAGGCACAACAATAGCTGTACTTCTTTTCATAACTGACAGCATTTTTCTTTATGTTGGCAATGTTTTCTTGACCGTAATTCGAATTTTGAAATTCGTTAACGTCCGTGTTGAATTTGCTGCTGAAGTTATTGTTGAATTTGTGATTTCTGTGAGAAGTTTTATTGAAAATTTGTATTGAATAAAGCGAAAAACGGTTGTAGTTTAACTTTACTGGTGCTGGTGACTAGATACGTTGAAGAAGGAACAATTTGTCGAAGGGTCTTTGTGCAAGACAAAGTTAAAAATTGATTTGGTACCATGTCGAGAGACATCTATTATTCAGAGAAATATTACGACGAAGAACATGAATATAGGTAAATTATTTTCTGTTTGTATCCTATATAAAGCTGTCGTAGTTGTATTTTATCTAGAGGCTATTTTGTATTATGCAAAGAAGTCATAACCTTGAACAATAAAATTCAAACAGCAAGCCATTTCATGTGAACGTACTACTAATATAATGTACTACTTGAAATACAGAATTGTGTCCTATAGATATACTTTCATATAACATAAGTACTGCTATTAAATGTATTTTTAATTTTTCTTCTGCAGACATGTGGTTCTGCCAAAAGAGATGGTCAAGCTGGTGCCCAAGAACCATTTGATGTCGGAGCAGGAATGGCGCAGCATTGGCGTCCAGCAGAGCCAGGGATGGGTGCATTACATGACACATCAACCTGGTAAGCGATCCAGTTATCATTATTTTGCTTTGTGGATAGAGAAGAATGAGAAAGATGAAGAGTATTGTTGTCAAACATACATTTCAAAACAATTATTATTATTATATTATATTAGCTTTATACATATATTTAGCAATATCTTTGTTAACTAAAACTTATCCTAATTATTTATTATCTGTTGATCCTTTTAAGTTAGTAAAGGCCTCTTTATAACCTATTCAATTCCAAAAAAAGTTGTCACAGTAACATCTCCTCGATTATCGCATATACAATATTTTATAGAATATACATTTTTTTTATTGATACTATAAAAATATTACATTTTAATTGTTGTTAACAACAATAGGTAGTAGGAAATAACTTTAGTTGTTCATGTTAATTTTGTCTTTATTTAGGTTTTTTTTAAATTATTTGAGTAATTTACTATCACGTTCGCTGGAAAGTTGCTAACCTACTACAATTATTATTGAATACTGACTGAGCTCATAATATTTTTTGCTTTATTTCAGAACCCCACATACTGCTGTTCAAAAGAAAGAAGACTACACCACCAGAAAAGAAGTAAATACCATAGCGAGTTCACTGAGGTTCTCAATGTACAGTTCTTACCTGGATAGTTGTAGGGTAGATTAAGTTGCAGCCCATGACAAGCAATATTACCAATAGCCATATTATATGTAAGCTCAAGATAATGTGATTTTTTGTCATCTTAAGATAGCAGTCTATGTTGTAACAATGAAAGTGCATCAAGCTTTGGGCCTAGATATTGTGAATTTGTTAAGTCTGAACTGGACAGCTAAATGTAAACCGGCTCCTTAAATACTAATTGTTGATGAAGTGACATATAAAAGCAGCTAAACGATTATGACACAATTATGTCTCACAAAATTGAAATTTGTAAATTTCTTCAAACATTTTGGTTACAAGTTATTGTCACTTCATCAATAACAAATATTTTGTTTCTGAAATGTGACCAATGATACATTTGTATTACTCGACATGTGTCTGTTTGTCATGGGTATCAAGATCTTCATTCCTTAACATTTAAGTTTGTTTTCTTCATAATTAGTCATTATTGTTTAAGTTTGTTTCGAGAAAATACTTGTTCCATCAAACTTCACCATTTGTATGTTAGGTACCCTTTTGAGTGTTAAAGCAATACAAGCTTTGCATATCAGTTATGGTAGGATAATAAGATCAGCACCATTTTGTCTTTGTATCATAATTGTTTGATTGTCCATTTGAATCATTAGAATATTACTGTCCAATTATTATTATTATTTTTAATGAATATTGTGCTGTTTATCTGATAATGTTCTGGCATACACTTATGTAATAATTGAAAATATTTTATTTGATTTGTGACATTTCATAAAGGTGCAGATTTACATGTTACTCATGTGCAGTGTAGAGTACTAGCACTAGATTATTCATATTATATTCAGATTACATTTCGGCTTATTAATTTTATTGTATATAATTGTGTAATAATGGTAATCAATTATGGTTGTCTTGGTATCAGTACTGGTTTCTATTTGTAATCTGATTCAAATAAATTATTTGGTGCTATAATTATTTTGTTTCATTCAATGGTAGAGTTGTGTAAATTTTACATTTAAGATTTTGAATTGCTATATTTACTTATTTAAAATTTAATGCACACAAAATTCAAAATTGTACTTTCGTGATTGTCAAATCGTCGCATTTATGATATTAGTCGATGCATGGCTTGAGAAACATTACTACTAAGTATTTATTATAAGGTGAACAGAATTAAAACTGGTTAATTTAGAACAAAATGATAATTTCAAACCTTGCATAATCTTTAAAATTTATTTTAATTATTTTCATTATTTGGAAAGTTACTAAATGCATAAAAATAAGAAAACAATATTGAGTAGTTCAAATTTTATTTTCTCTTTTTTTTAGCACTAGGAGACAGTGAAGGCAGCTTTGCTGTCTCTGGTTGTGAGAACTCCATCGGTTCTATTTTGATTTCATCTGTTGCTACAGTGTCCAGGAGATCCAGGCCTTGCAGTTGCTCTTGCTCCAGACTATGCAGCATCTGGAACCCCGGCTCCAAGGAAGGGGTAAATGCTCCATCCAATGCAGCTGGAAAATGTAACTCCGGAACTTCTTCCAGCTTTAGTTGTGGTGCCATGTCCCCGATAACCATTGCTTCACATTGTGTCTTTAATTCTTCACACTTTTGCTTCATTTTAGCATGATACTTAACCACACGATTGTTGAAAAAGTCATGCAGATTACCTACATTCAAATCTGCAAATACTTTTGATACAACGTCAGGGTATCCAGATCTCAGCCCGCTGGCTTCTTGATCAACAACAGTTCTCATCAGCTTACACATGTTGGTCATGTAAAAGTCTAA